CGTGTGTCGCCTGAGCAAGATGGTACATCTTGCTCCAGTTTCCGTTACCGCTACGGGCGAACGAACCGCAAGGTTGCCCGTCGATGGCGTGTTCCGCTATCACGGTCTCCCGGAGACGATTATCTCGGACCGAGACCCGCGGTTCACGGCTGCGTTTTGGAAAACGCTGTTCCCTTTACTGGGAACTCGTCTGCAGATGTCCACTGCGGATCATCCGCAAACAGACGGCCAAACGGAGCGCGTCAATCGAGTGCTCGAGGACACTCTGCGCAGTGTGTGCGCGGCAGCGCCACGTACGTGGTCGTCGCAGCTTCCAGTTGTTGAGTTTGCGCTCAACAACGCGGTGCACGCGTCCACGGGGTTCACGCCGTTCTACTTTAACGGCTTCCGCCACCCCAGAGTGCCTCTCACTCTTCGAGGAGACACTGACTCCTCTATTCTAAGTGGGGGAGAGGCTCGGAAAGCCCTTTCCTCCCAGGTCTCGGATGTGAGGCCAATTTCGCTGCGGAAACAGGTGGAATCCTTTATGGATACCAAGCTGAACATTGTCAGCAGGGTCCGCGATGCCATGGCAGCGGCCCAAGATAAACAAAAGGAGTACTCAGACAAACAAGGATGAGGAAACTTAAGTATATTTGAGGTTGGTGACTTAGTGTTGCTAGACACGAGGAACCTACCTCTAGACACTGTTAGCTCTGTCGGCAGCAACAAACTGAAGCACCGCTTCATCGGACCTTTTGCAGTCCTGGCCAGACATGGTGCGTCGTACACCATCGACCTTCCAAAGTCAATGACGACGCACCCGACGTTCTATGTCGGACGTCTTAAGCGGTACTTTGACCCGCAGGGGGTTGCTGACTCGCAGATCCCCCTTGACCCAGCTCCTCGAAGCGAGGGCCGGTCACAGTCGTCGACGAGGGCGTCGGAGCAGGCACCCAAGTCTCGGTCGGGACGGCAAGGCTGCGGTCAAGACCGTACGCCGGAGGGGCTCCATACGAACGGACCCCGGCGCCATACGCCGAGTACGCTGAGTAAGCCGGGTACGCACCATACGCGTACGTCTGGGAGTGTGCCGCAGGCGGCTCCGGACGTGGCAACAAAGCCTCGATCCGTCGGATCATGCGAAAGGCCTCGTCCAGATCGGACGAAGAGGCCCGGCGATCCACCCGCAGGTGCAGGCTCGCGACCTCTCGCTCCACCAGGTCCAGGCGGCCCGCTAGACGAGCGAGCTCGCCCTAATTCCCGGCCTGGGCGGCAGCATTACCGCCAGTCCCAAGGCCAAGTGCAATCTCAAGCACGAGGACACGTTGACGGAGGCGGTCAACCACAGGGTCCTGTGTCGGACCCGCAGTCGGAGCACTCGGACGAGAGTGGCTCTCGGGAGGCGCCGAGTACTCGTACTCGTACGAGGGCACCTCCGCCCCTGCTTGACCGGAATGGAGAAGCCCACTTCCACGTGGAGCGGATCCTCCAGGAGCAACGGTGTCGCGGCAAGCGACAGCTCCTCGTGAAGTCGAGGGGTTATGCCCACTCCGAGAACTCGTGGGAGCCGATTGAACGGCTCCTGATTGACTGCCCGAAGGCTGTCGCAATCTGGGAACAAAAGCGGCGGCAGCTTCATAAGTAGTCCGGGGCCTTTTGCCCGAACGGGGTACGGTCGATGAATACATACCGTACCCGCGCTCATCGTGAGCGCTAGAAGCCGCGCGCTTCAGGATGTCCCTTGGCAGCATACGCTTGCTGATCAAGTGGGCAAACCTCACACGAAGATCACGCTGGTCCAGGATGTGGGACAGCTGCTAATCTTCATGGAGTTCCCATAACTCCGTGGGCGAGTACTTGAGAGTCTCCACCCACGCCCAGAACATGTCCTCACAAGAACTCCACGTGGGACAGCTCTCGGGCATAACCCAGGGGTATTCCCAAACAGGATAGAGACCACCCCGGGTCTCGGGCTTCTTACGACAAGTCGTGAAGTCCTTAAGGGGAATGCGGTGTGGCGCGAGAAGCACATACCGAGCAGCCTCCAAGTTGTCGACGAACCACTGTTCTTTCTTAACAAGGGCTCGTTCATAGATGCCCCTAGAAGTGTGGCCGCCCACAAGGCCACGAGGAGCGACGAGAAGCTCTAAGAAGAGGTCAGCCCCAGAGCTCTCCTCGGGATGCCAATACCCCCTTGAGTTGATGGCAGCTCCCTGGCTGACGGGTGCCGCCACCGAACCCCCACGCACACGCTGGGAATCTTGGAAATCCTCCTGCTGCTGGTCGAGGTCATTCGAGACCTCCCGGGGCTCAACAATGGCACCCTCTTCTTCCTCCTTCTCCTCCTCTTCATCCGAGGAGCCGAAGAGACTCTGATAGGAGCGTCGAGTCTCCTTCAACTCGCGGAGTGGAGACTTAGAGGCGGTACGCTTCTTTGAGGGCTTGGCGCCTTCGGCTTTAGAGGCCTTAGCGCGCGCAAGACCCTCGGCAACCGAGAGACGTTTGCGAGGATTCTCTTCCTCATCGCCACCAGCTTTGGGAGCGCCCTTAGCCTTAACGGCCGGACTCTCAGAGCGCACAGAGGTCCTGGGACTGTGATCACCGTGATCACTAGCGGGCGACTGCATGCTACCTACTTTGTGCTCACTGGGCACTGGGCTGTGCCCTCCCACAGAGCCCGCAGGAGCATCCTGAGTGCTCTCGGACTCGGCATCGTCTTCACTGCCCGAGTTGAACTCGCGTTCTACGAACCGAGGGTTCGGACGGTTGTCTGAAGACGGGGGCGACGGACTGCGGCGCCTGCTTGCGCGCTTGTCCGCAGCCGCGTCACCCGAGGAACCGATCGCCTCGGAGGCCACCTGAGTAGCCTCTTTGAGTGCAGAGCCTTTGCCGTGAGGCTTAGGGCTCTTGGCCTGCGCCTTACCGGCTGCAGCCTTGGAGCGTGTCTTAGCACCGCTCTTAGCAGTGCCGCGAGGCATGTTAACGGTCGAAGTGGAGACCTTGACGAAGAGCGCACAGGCTGCTGCTCGAGGCTCTAACTGTGAAGTGAGCCTCCACCGCGCTCGCGCGGCCAAGTCGATGGTTTTCGACTTTGAGAATGAGAGTTTGTGACGAACACCTCTTCATTCTGATTGGTCGGTAAGCCGAACCTAAGTGGGAGAGGATGTAACGGGGTACGTAGCCCTAAGTGTACCCTGGTTACATGAAGTGTGACACTTCACACTTCAGGAGTATGACACGTCATACTCCGGAATATTTGGTACAAGGTACCAAGGTCGTTCAAAGCCAACCATTGGTTAAATGACATTGCATTTCTATAGGTAACTAATAGTTTGTATTAAAACCGAACTTATCCTACCTATAAATATACTCAGTTTACAATCTACCTTATTTAGCTCACTTCGCTCTCTTTAATAAAAGAGGGGACCTGTGAACTGCCGTTCACTGAGAGTTTGTATACTCTCGGAAGAAACCTTCCTCTTACGCAAGGTGCTGTCTGACCCCGTCACAGCTAGCCAAGGTGCAGAACTATCAAAAAAGTTGGCGGCGCAAAAATCGGCCGGACTCAATGAAGCCTGTGCTAGAAATTTGTGGACAATGCATGTATGATTGTGCAGATCCTCGTAGAGTTTGGGATCAAGATCCGAATTCTTTGCTAGTTTTTTGCGATACCAAAGTGGTGGATGGTGTAGTTGAACCAGCTCTTGGTACCGGTGCGCTAGGGAATCCATTTCGTCTTGGGTTAACATGTACAAGACTACTTGAGAGCTATGTGGATGTGCAACAAAACCCGGATCTTTCAACAGTTTTTCATCTAGACACTACGCACGACTGCGTAAAGCAGAAATACCCTGTTTCTGTTGTGGGTATTTCAGATCGTGCTGGAAGATTCCAGCCAATTCTTTACTGCTGTACATCACAACGTCGCAATGAAGACGTTGCTTGGTACTTGGCGTTTTTAAAGCGTGTGATTCTGGAATTGTTTAACGTGCAATTTTCGCCCGACTTTGTCATGATGGACGCTGACAAAGCTCAGTACAATGCCTGCACAACTGAATTACCTGATAGCACGGTCCTAATGTGCTGGTTCCATGCTACACAAAATGTACAAAGCCAAACGCAAGAATCAAAGCTGGATGGGATATCAGTTCAGTTGATTTTTCGAAATCTGTATGATTTGCACTATGCTACCGATGAAGAGCGCTATCTGCGTAAACGAGAGTTTGTTGTGAGGTCATGGCGTGGAGCGGGTACAATATGTCCTCGGTTTCGACGTGTGACAAATCACATTATTTCGCAGTGGATACTAGGCGCCCGCTTTTCACGCTGGCAAGCTTATCGTACCCCCACAGGGTACGCGGCTACTAACAACCCGCTTGAGCAGTACCACTACACATTAAAACTAGTGAATGACAGCAAACGGGCTAACCCGGCAGAACTTGTTGTCCGCCTGGATTTGTCACGAATTTCGTTTATCGCCTCAATGCAACCCTTTTGCGATCAGCCTTCTGTATCCAAACGTTTACTGGCTGCTTACAGAAGGACTGATAAAAAAGGTCATGACAGCAGAATTGATTCACCGAGACAACAATTTAGTTCTAGTACGTGTCGCACCATCTCCGCTTCCCACGAGCTCATCACAAGAGCCAGGAGAATCTGTGCATGCTCTTGCTGCAAATTCTAAAAAGCCGTGTACGTACGAGGCCAAAAACTACGCTAGAATTAGCTGGGTCAACATGCCCGTCAGTGGATGGATTGTTGATGCTACTGCACGCACATGTTCGTGTCTGTGCTTTGAGAAAGCTGGGATATGCCTACACGTTGTTAAGGCAACCGAATTTTCTGGGCTGGCATGTCCAGGTATGCCAGCTCCTTCGCAAAGATTTGTGCGGCCGGCACAACAATCGCGCACTGCAGCTCGGCGGATAGGGATTTGCGACTTAGATACAGACAATAACGAAGGTGGCCCAATAGAGCCTCAAGGTGCTATGTACGGGCCACCTACACTTGCTGCTTCCATGGAAGCGAACGAGTCTCTGGTAGACGACCATCCAAACCCGGTAGCACAGCTGCGTGAAGTGCAGAATGCTGTGGAGGTACCGGTACCATTGCAGCAAGGTCCTGTCGTTCCATCACCGGCAGATCCACTGCCAGACGTACATGAAGAGCTGCAAGTTGCAGTAGCACAGACCGATCCTGATATTGCACGATTTGAAGAGAACAGCACACGTCAGGCATTGAATGTGCAGACACCGGTGTAACGACAGTCTACCCACAGCTTGCGCAGATCTGCAAGATCAAGAACTCCCACACGCAGAGCGCAAGAGTCCAGAATCCAGACCAAGCGTCGTCGAATGTAGCCGCATGCCTATCTGCATTCCGATGGATCTGCTTGCAGCCTTTACATGAGCTGGATACAGGGCAGTTTTAGTTGGACCTTTACATCCGTAACAGCTGATGAATACATTGGCTATGCTTTTTTTCATTCACTTTAGAATTCGCGGCTTGAGAACATTTCGGCGTGTGTACCAAGCTAGAAGAGACTGGAACGGGTAGAGCTCTGAAGACGCGAGATAGTTGATCCAGGAAGTCGGAGCGAGGGAACATGGGTCGACGATTCAATAGCTCGCCGAAGATACAGACAATGGACCACATATCCACCGTCTCATTGTACACTCTCGAGGGCGCCAACATGATGCGTCGGTTGGAGACGTGACGCCGTCCGTACGAGCGCTGTGTGGGATGTACCGAGAGAGTCCGAAGTCCGTGTAACGTGTGCTTGGCGTCCCACTCGTCATCCTCCATAGGCGTGATCTTCTTGATAGCAACGTTCTTCTTGGCCTCCGTGTCCGTCTCCGCGCAAACGAAGCCGTACGAGCCTTCTCAGAGTACTTGAAGTGGCTTGTACTTGGCTGGCACGTTGAGCATTCAGCTCTTCAGAGTGAGCTCATCGTTACAAGCTGTTGATCCGCGTGGTTGCGTCACAATAATCTTCGAAACGAGGTCAATCTGCGAGGGAGAAGAATTGGTACCGTGGCTTTCTTCCGGTTGAGAGTTTCAAAAACAGCGGCGCGTTAATTTGCGACAGATTCACGGCCGAGATTGAGCATAGCTGCGGTAACTGACGATGGGATCTTGACGTACAAGCGGTTGGTTACCAGGTTGACGTAGAACAGACATCCAGTTATGGGCTTGGATCGGCGAGCCCAATCCTCGGTAGATTGCTGGACGTACTGGAACCTGCTCGTCGACTGGACCGCATCAAGCTGCGACTCGTAAAGAACTCGGGCGTCATTGCACTGGACGGGGAATAGGTCGTCTACGACGTGCCTGGCACTCTTGACGGAATCGCGGTCGATGGATTGGTCCCCACGTGTACTTCGCTGATTGCTGCTGGACACGCGTGCGGACCCAGTGCGTGTGGAGATCGTTGCCGTCTTGACTGGCACTCCTGACGGAATCGCGGTCGATGGATTGGTCCCCACGTGCACTTCGTTGGTTGCCGCTGGACACGCGTGCGTGCATTCCTCATCCAGCGACTACGTGGAGATCCACACGCCCAAGCTGGTCGGTGGCGCCTCGGGGAGCGGAGCCAACTACTTCACACTCAAGTACTTCGACCAGGACGCTAACTTGGCTCAGAGTCCGCAGACGTACAAGCATATGGAGTGTGATGTTGCTAGTCGCGAGCGCGTGTTCGAGATCGTCCCGGGCTTCCGTGCTGAGACCTCGAACACGCACCGTCACATGTGCGAGCTCGTGGGTCTGGATCTGGAGATGACTATTAAGGCGCACTACCACAAGGTGCTGTAGGTGCTCTCAGACCTGTACATCTACATTTTCGATGGCTTGAAGAAACGTTACGCCAACGAATTGGCTTCTATCAACGAGTAGTACCCGTTCGAGCCGCTCAAGTACAACAAGCCGTCGCTTATCATCAACTCCTAGGAAGGTGTCAGGATGCTGAAGGAGACTGGCGCTGACCTGAAGACGATCTGAGCACAGAGAAAGAGAAGTGGCTGGGTCGTCTCATCAAGGAGAAATACGACACAAACTTCTACATCCTCGACAAGTTCCCGCTGGCTGTGCGTCCGTTCTACACGATGCCAGACCCGACGGACAAGCGTTGGAGCAACTCGTACGACATGATGATCCGAGGCGAGGAGATGGTCTTGTGTGCTCAGCATGTGCACGATCCCAAGCTGCTGATGGAGCGTATGGACGAACTGGGTGCGCCTCAGGAGTCGATACGCAACTACATCTACTATCTCCGTCTTGACTCTCTGCCCCACGGTGGCGGTGGTATTGGCCTGGAGCGTGTGGTCATGTTGTACTTTTGTCTGGGCAACATCTGTAAGTCCTCCATGTTCCCGCGTGACCCCAAGAGGTTGCTCCCTTAAGCCTCTCGTCGCTAGAATGGCGTCGTATTGTTTGTAGCGGGCTCTCATTGAATAAGGATAATGTAAAAACCAAGTACTGTCAACGATGATATCCTGAGGTCTTTGTCGTTCGATTAGCAAGGTTAACGTTACACGTAGCACGTTGCGCACACATTACTCTGTTGTCGACTACACATACTCTACGTAACTAGAATGCCTCAGTATTTACTCATACTGTCGAACCATAGGCGGGTACAGGTTCTGGATCGTCATTGCGGCTCACGACACAACCTACATGATCACACAGCCATAGTGCATGTACACGTAATTCTGTGCTGCAAAAAATTGTGTGAAACTTAGCAAACTTGCTGAGTGGGCACGGACCATCTTTGTATTTGACGTCATACAAGCATTACCTAGCCTTTTTCAAATGATCCAACTTCCTAAAGCTCTGTAGTGACGACTACAATCATAGAAATAGCTCCAGTTATGATTGCTTCAAAGTGCTATGGAGCCGTCAATGCACGCTGTGTATAAACCTCTACATATAATGTCGGATCCATGTTGGTGGTATCTTCATTTGAGTTGGTGTAGAAGTCCTCTTTGCAGGTGCTCAGCGCATATGATCAGGGTTTGACTACCAAACAGTTGGTGCGTGTCGGCTCCTAAATTAGTAGTGTGTTGCTCTTCCTGTCAGTGGCCAACACCACCATAAGAGTGTGGGTTTAATCAACTGTAGTGATTCTATCTTATCCTCGTTAGGACAGTGTGCAGGTAGGTAGGTGCGATCCGTATAGATGAATTCGGTGTATTCACCTGCGCGGTGCTGTAAACATCTACATGTATTAGAGACGCAGATTTTATAATTCCACATATATAAAAATTGTAAGAGTAAAAATCTAGTAGCGCACATGTGACTGTAACGGTTGCTAATTTTTGGCTTAAATCCATTAAAATTTGATCATTTTAACAGATGAGCCAATTGGCGGTGACCCGGGTCACCAACTATTATTTGAGCAAAATCTATAATATTTATTTAATTTTAGCACCAGGTAATTAAGTACCATTTCTCGTTTGGGCTGCGATCCTTTCACTGTTGGCTCAAATGAGCGACCCTCCTACCACAGAACGACGAGCTGGCGGCACAGGTGGCTCGAGTCAGACTGCACCACGGAAGAAACAAAAGCCTCGGAATCGACTTACTGCATTTGATCGTGCTACTTGGCACTGGGAAAGCTGAGCAGTAAAGCGCAAATCGTTGTCGTTAAAATATTTCTCGATTCCTGCCGAGTATTTAACTTACAATCCGGATAAATCAGCATTCAGCGAGAATAAGGACGAGTCTAGTGACGCTTACAAAGGTGCAAGAAGTACGAAGAGAGAAGTAGCTGTAGGAGTGCAAGCAAAGCGACCAATTGGATGACCTCGGAAGCAACAAGCTCATACAACAAAATTCACATTTATCCTGCGCTTTCTGACACCCCGTCCACAAATACCAAGCAGCCTGCATATCGATGGTTCGAATTCGGGCACTTCTAGCAGCACAGTGATGACTAATGACCATGCAGTCGACGCCAATAACAACAATCAGTATCGGCAACCTCAGATATTGAAGGCGACACCACATATTTTAGGAACAACATCATTTAGCTTAACTCGGACGTTGGATCGAAGCTGCAGTGCATCCAGAGCTGCAGCAAGGAAAGGATAGTCGGCATTGCCTGATTACAGAAACTTAAATAATGCATATGTTTAATGACAGAATAGTTGAGTACCGGGTCATTGGTGTGACCCGGGCCACCGCCAACTGTTTCAGATATACCAGCAGCTTGCTACTGTAGTTCCTTTTTCTGTATGTCCTTTTTGCTAATTTGGTTATCTTCGCTCACAAATCTCAGCACCCATTAGAGACTAATGTAAGTTTCTATGATTTGATTCGAAGCTATTAATAAACCGGAAATTCCAGTACCGGCATTGCTCCCTTCACTTATGTGCACAACACACATACGTTGATGCAGCTCCCACAACCACGACACAACGCAATTATCTAGCAGAGCAGCCAACACGTAACATTCCTCCACGCACACCATTGTAGTATTGCAGAACCCACGTATGCGCTCCTACATACTCCTTGTGGCCATTATGATTGTTTGCAGCAGTGCTGCGAGCGTCAACCTCCGCCATCTCCATTTGATCAAAGCTGTCCATCCGATTCCAGGAAGTGAGCGTCTACTGAGAGCTGAAAAAACGAACGATAAGACCGAGAGCACCGAAGACGAGGAGAGGGCGGGGCTCACTGATTTTGTCAAAAAGCTCGGGACAGGCGCGTCGAAGCGTGTCAAGGACACGTATTTGGCGTCAAAACTGAAAGCCAAGGCGAGCCAAATGAATCTGGATACAACAGTGCAGAAACTCGTGGATGATAGAGTCCACCCTGACCGGGTTTACAAAGTGCTCAATCTTCAAAAACCCCAAAACCGGTTTGTTGGCGTGGATTACTCCGGCAGGATGAAGCTGTGGATGCAGCTGACGGATGCGTGGAAGGTAAAATATCCTGGTACGAAGACCCAGCTGAAATAATGAGTAGCGATGGAGTTACTACCAAAAACGCTACTGCATTACAAGCAGCTTGAATTTCTGGGGGACAATAATAACGTTTTCTTGAGCTGAGTACCGGTAAGGTATAAAATTCGAAGACAGTTTGCTGATCTTATACTTTGTGAACGGTGCGGTGCTGACGACCAGCGCCACACAGATCAATAAAGGCGTAGGTAGTGATGGCACGAGAATGTAATGACCTGAATTGAAACATTTCGCAAGATCACTACAACGATATAAGACAATTCAAATAAATATTGTGCAGTGCTACCGGGGTTAATGGTATCGTAGTAGTAATAGCGCCGGAACTATTAAGTCTCGACCATACGCGGTAATACTACTACTACTAGCGTAATTTGGAGGTCGTAAATTTGTATAAACTTCACAGGTTTCACTCCAAGTAAAGGTTTGGCATGGGTATAAACTTATAGAAACTTGGTGTACTAAAGGAAATATTGCTCACTTTACATATGCTTGGAGATGTTTTTTAAGTTTTTCTTACACGGCTAGGTGTTGTGCTAGAATATCACTACAGTATTATCGTATTTGTAGATCTTTATAACTATAAAGAGGTCTGTAAACAAAGCTGTCGAGGCCCACAGCGGCATTATCCGTCCACCTCTAGCCCTTGTTCGGTAGAAGCTGCAGTGGTGTCAATGCCCACTTGACGCAGCATCAAGACGCTGAGGATCCTGGACATGGTGATTTTGGAGCTCTCGGGTATTTTTCGCGAAGTGATAAGTCCGCTCGTATGTGTCGTTAGGTCAGCCGCCGCGGGCGTCACTAGTGGTGGACTCGACCTGCCCAAAACTTCCCCGAGCAGAGCGGAGATAAGTAAATAAGTGGACGATAAGTAGACCAGCAGAAGAGTAGAGTATCGTGTAGGTAGAGCAAAGATAACCGCAGCAGCTCACTCAACGCCGTGGTGACGAAATATAGTGCCCTTGGGCGGTGGTCGCCGCAGCTGGTGAGCTCGCTGAGATGTGAGCTTTTAAAAAAAAAAAACTTTTCGGTGATAGAAAATGATAACCTCATTCAAATCATATTACCTTCTTAAACAGATTTACAAATTCTGGATGTGCTGAAGTTTAGTGTGGTAATGTTTATATGAATGTTAGAGCAAATACAGTAAAATTCAACCGATCTACAGTCTAGTTTTAAAAATAAGGTGTTAAAATCTGCAAAATGTAAAGCAGCAAGAAGAAAAAACACTCAGGATAACGAATCCCTCCCGGCTGATTGGAAATGACTACGAATTTGTAAGCTCTCATTAAACGTAGTAGTTGGTGCGAAGCCTTTGGCTTTCCAGGGCTACTAGCGCTGCGCAGCAGCACTACCAGCCCATCCCTTTAGTGCGGTTTGGTTTCCTTTACGCCTCCTGCTTTATACCACTCTGACGCACTTAGGAATCGACATTTGACTCCAGCCCACGTAGCCGCAGCCAGGTAGTCCTCGCGTTGTGCAAGGGCAAATGGCTCTTCGAGTGTTGAGGGATCCGATCTTGTAAGGCAGTAGCGCGTCATGCCTTTGCGCATACCGAACACGAACACATCAACCTAAAAGGCCATATCGATAGGCTTGGACACGATACACGACGCGATGTGTCGTGGCTTCTGGACGTAGTCGTCCATAGTCATCGTGCCTTGCCGAAGGGCAAAGAAGTCTGCCCGAATTCGGGATTCATTTTGCGGCGGCTCGAACGCGAGCTAAAGGTCACTCTGGAGGTTATCCAGAGTGGGGAAGGCGTTGGGGTCGACGACCAACTTGCCGAGGGCACATTCCTTGGATTTCCCAGACAGCCACGAGAGGAGAAAGTGGACCTTCGCGGATAGCGCCTCTATCAACCCCGAGGCGATGGCGATGTCGATCTCTCGAAACCATCGATTCAGCGGAAGTCGGTCTTCTCCGGCACCGGAGTAGGTGGACGTCTCTAGTTTCACGACGTCATTCGTGGAGATACGCGAGAGAGTTGACACACGCGGATTCGTGGAGTTACGAGAGGGAGTTGACACTCGCCGATTCGCATCGGCGAGCTCGCGTTTTATGAATTCTTGTGCCGCAATGCGCTGCTCGTCGAGCGTCGCTAAGCGCAGCAGCGACGTGACGACAGCTTCTCCGGACACCGCCGCGAGGCGGTGGAGAGCTTCCCACTCGATCCAAGTGAGATGGGGGAAGGCAACGTGGTCGAGGTCTTGGCTCATGTTGAACTTGGGCATTGGAAGGACTACGAAGTGCTACCAGGTGTAACGGGCCAGGTATTTACTCCGTTACTTGCGTACACTATAGTGTTGAGGAAGCTCGCAATAGGACGACTGAGTCTTAGGTTTAAGGAAAAATCATCTCTGACTCTACTTTAGGACCAAGGCCACAGCCCTGGCCACTCAAATACACGTCGTATTTCAATTGGCTAATAAAGGGTCTGG